TGACCAAGTTTGGACAACACTGCTCTAAGCAGTGCTTCAACTGGGCTTGGCAGCCTAAACATCTGAGGAAGTTGCAGCAAGTGAAAATGTATATTTGCTCCCACCAGTATTCTTGGGTTGGGAGTGGCATTTGGTGAGAAAATGACTTCTCCGGTAGCTCCTGAAGAGTTGTTCCGGGAGTAACTTTTGCAATTTTATAGAAGAAAATTGAAGATGAGCTATTAAGCACAGACAACCTGCAACTTGGAGCAATGGTTTAGCTTTTTTTGTTTAAAGAGCAGAAGAAATAATAAATACAGTTTTGGCTATCTCCTTGTACATAATTTCCCATCACCCTAATTGGTTTAATTGGGGTTTATATGTTTATATGATGGGGAAAATTTCACTCACATTAATAATTCCCTCTGTTCTCATTTTCTTCTGAGATACTTGTAGCTCCACAGAATGACAGCTCTGTGTTGCTTTCACATCACATACTAAGTTAGCTCATTTTCTGGGTTTGAATAATATAGTCAGCGATAACCTAGCTTATTGGGCTGGAAATACACAATATATTAAGCCAAAACCAAAACCACTAACCAAGGTTAATATCAACCAAGCTTGGATGGTTGTGTGCAAGTAGCTGCTAGGTTTGTGTCTTGGTGAAGCACCTTGTCTGAACACAGGCTAAACCAAGTGTTCCATGGGATGTCTCAGGCTGCCCTCCAGATGGGCTGCAAAGGATTTTCCATGGATGCATTGGCTTGAAGTATCGGGTGCTGTGCTACTATCTATCTGGAAAAGACTAGACTGAGAAAGTCAGGTTTTGGCATTGTGTAAGCAATGAAAATTGGCATGTAGTGTAGAACCAAGAAGACCCACATTCAAATCCACCTTCAGGACTTTGCTCAGTGATTCTCTTTCAGTCCAACCTACTTCATAGGGTTGTTGTTATGGGAGTAGCCTAACTAGGTCTGCCTTATCCAGCAATCATGGCATAGTAATAAGTATTTCCCAAAGTAAAATGCTCTCCCCCTTTCATTTTCCTCAGATAAAGTCCATAAGGAGATGGAGAAGGTTTTGGGTTCCTCAAACTCAGTTAGCTCTCAAGATTGGAAGAAACTACCTTATACCAGTGCTGTGATTCACGAGATCCAGCGAACCAAACATGCATTCTTATTCAGAATCATCAAACAATGTGCAAAGGATGTGAATGTCTTTGGTTTTCTCGCTCCCAAGGTATAGAAGAGTGATGATACAGCAGTGAGTGAGTGAGTGGATGGATGGATGGATGGATGGATGGATGGATGGATGGATGGATGAATGAATGAATGAATGAATGAATGGCTCCTATATATTCTGCCTGTGACTCTGTAGTGGTCCCTGCCCCATGAAACATTCTTTCCAGAAGATCCAGCAGGCCCTATCCTCCTAGGCCCCCAGAAGGTCTTGAAAACTTGGCTCATCCCATAAGCATTGGGTAAGGTTGAAACCCAGAAAATTAAACATTTAAGAAGAATGGGGGAATATTTGCCTTTGGAATGCTGGGAGTTTTTGCTATAGTTTTGTGGATTTTGGATGTTTAATTAATAGAACAATGACATGTGAGATGGGCTGCCATATAGATGTTTTAAACAAACAAACAAACAAACAAACAAACATCTATTCAGATCCTTTATTACATCAGTAATGAGATTCATGTCAAGTAGAAACAGTGATATTTTTAAAATACTTTCTAAAATAGGAGTTCATGAAGACCTGTTGATTTCTTCTTTTCATAGAATCCTAGAGTTATCCAACTATAGACATCTAGTCTACCCCCCTCTCAGGGCAGGATCCACCAAAGCATCTCAGATACATGACCATCAGCCTCTTTTTGGACACCTTCAGTGAAGCTGTACTGAAATCTTCATATAGCAGCCTGTTCTTTTCACCAGTGGCTATAGCTCATAGGTTTTGGGAGGATTAAAAAACAAAACAAAACAGGAAGAGTATAATAATACTTTATTCATGTTCAGAATGATTTTTTTACTATATCTGTTTGATAAGAGGCACACAAATTGATGTACGTTCAGGTGTGCCACAGAAATATAATATGATTAGTTCCAAATGGATGAAGCTTGTACATACTATATGAAAAATACTCAAGAATTGGTCCTGTGAAAGTGAGGAAGTAATCTGAAATGGGATAGTTTGGATGCATTTTGGATCAACTGTTTTTTTTTTTTAAATTACTTCCAGGGAACGTTTATTAACCCAAATCTGAATTCAGTATTTCTTGATCCCAAACTATGGGAAACACCTGAAAAATTCAACCCAAGTCATTTTTTGGATAAGGATGGACAATTTGTCAGCAGAGAAGAATTTCAACTACTTGCTACTGGTAAATATAAAAGTGGTCTATTATCATATTGACTGTGCTACTTTATGTAGTAGGTTTGTTTTAAATAGGAAAATTGTGTTTTATTTTCAAAGATAAAAGGCACGTTTAGTCCATGTAGCAGGATTTGGAGATCAATCGTTAGTCCCTAAATTATCTGTTTCTCATCTACGACTTGAAATCTTTCGACATTCTATAACTTGGTTACTGTGAAGTCCTTGGGGTTCTCTGAGCTTGGTTCTTTTCTTGCAAACGTTTCATTACCCGGCTAGGTAACATCTTCAATGCTAAAATGG